TGCTGAAGCTGATCCACTTTGCATGGAATGCTTATGTATTAGGCCAGGGGAGTGCGAAAGGATGAATGAAGCTATAAAAGAGCTGTATGACTGCTCAAAGCTCCAGTATGAAACTGGAAATAGGCTTGTTGAAATTATCTGGGTTTGGGTCAGAGCAGAGAGCAACAAGGGTGAAGTTGTGGTGGGTGTCTGCTATAGACCACCAGACCAGGAGGATGAGGTAGATGAGGCTTTCTTCAGGCAACTAGAGAAAGTTTCCCGATTACAGGCCCTGGTTCTCCTGGGGGACTTCAGTCATCCTGACATCTTCTGGGAGGGAAATACAGCAGTGCACAGGCAATCCAGGAAGTTTTTGGAGAGTGATGGAGACAACTTTCTGGTTCAAGTGTTGGAGAGGCTGTGCTTTTCTTGAGCTGCTGCTCACTAACTGGGAAGAATTGGTGGCAGCTTGGGCAGCAGCATCCATGAGATGATTGAGTTCATGATCCTAAGGAAAGGAAGGAAGGAGAGAAGCAGAGTAAGGACCCTGGGCTTCAGAAAAGCAGACTTCAACTCACTTGGGGAACTCATGGGCAGGATCCCCTCTGGGAGGCTGGTCTGAGGAGGAGACCTGGCTGTACTTTAAAGAAATCTTACTGAGGACACAGCAACATACGTGCACAAAGACAAGCAAGTGTGGTAGAAGACAAGCTTGGCTTAGCAGGAAACTCTTTAATAAACTAAAACACAAAAAGGAAGTTTATAAGAAGTGGAAATTTGGACAAACAACTAGGGAGAAGTATAAGAGCATTGCTCAGGCACACAGGGATGAAATTGGAAAGGTCAAAGCACAATTGGAGTTGCAACTAGCAAGGGTAACAAGGGTTTCTACAAGTATGTCAGCAAGAAGAGGATGATTAGGGAAAGTGTGGATCCCTTACTGAATGGGAGAGGTAACCTAGTGACAGATGATGCAGAAAAGGCTGAAGAACTCAATGCCTTTTTCTGCCTGTCTTCACAGGCAAGATCAGCTCCCAGACTACTGCACTGGGCAACACAGATCGGGGAGGAGGCGAGTAGCCAACAGTGGCAAAAGAACAGGTTGGGGACTGTTTAGAAAAGCTGGATTTGTACAAGTGTATGAGGGGAGAGAGGATGCAACCAAAGGTGCTGAGGGAGTTGGTCAATGTGATTGTAGAGCCACTGGACATCATCTTTGAAAATTCATGGACAATTGGAAAAGGGCAAATATAATGTCCATGTTTAAGAAAGGGAAGAAGGAGGATCATGCCTGACCTACCTGATTGCCTTCTATGATGAGATGACTGGCTCTGTGGATGCAGGGAGACCAGTGGATGGGATCTACCTTGATTTTTAGCAAGGCTTTTGATATGGTCTCCCACAACATTCTTCCAGGCAAGCTACGGAAGTATGAGCTGGATGAATGGACTGTAAGATGGACAGAAAACTGGCTGCATCTTTAGCTTCAGAGTAGTAGTCAATGACTTGATGTCTAGTTGGTAGCTGGTATCAAGTGGAGTGCCCCAGGCATCCACAGTTTCCCAAACTTGCGCAGTCTTTACTCCACGCTCCTCCAGAATATTTTCCATGGGGAGGTATGGGAGGCTGGGCCCATAGACTGTGAGTTGATTGTAATGTTAATGGTAGTGACTGCTTTGGGAAATGCCATGATGATTTCTAGCCATGTGTATTCCCTAGATAATCAGTGCCAGTAAGGAACTATCATAGGCTTATCTCTATCCATATATCCTTGTCTTTGCAGCCTCTGTCATTCAGTCTGAAGTGGAATTGCAAGACGTTGCTAAGATTGACCTGCTGCGGTCATTCCCTGCAGCTGGTGAGTGCAAATTATGCTCTGAAGAATTGCTGAAAAGGGGTTGGGTTTTCAGAGGGATTACTATGTTTGGCCTTTTTGCAAACAATCAAAGTCCTGTCTGCTCTGAAGGATTGGAGACCTAGTGACTGAAGCATTGGTGAAATGTCATCTGCAACAAGGGAGAGGGGCAGGGAGTGCTAGTCAAGAGGGTTAAAGCTCTAGTTTGTTTCCTGGTGATACCCTTTTAGTTGCACTCCCTAACTGAACGTTGTGAAAGAATCAGCATGTCCCTTCCAGACACTTCGTCACAAGGAACAGTCTCTGAGATGCTCCAGAACCCTCCTATGAAAGAAGAGGAAGCCAAGCATAACCTGCCAGACAGAACTAAGGTGGAAAAAAAAAAACCAGGCAAAAATCCCATTCCACCCTGTTGAGCCATCATTAAAGCGCAAACCAGAACAAGGTGAATTGCAAATTAATAATCCTGTACTTATTTTTTTTGCAATTTCTTAGTTGATTTAATAAAACATATTATCTCTGAACCTAGAGTTCAGAGTTTTTCATTTCTTAACCCAGTGTAGGTGGTCTCTGTCAGGTTAGACATCCAATATACATATTCTGTTCCTTATTCTATCACCCTTACCGCTGTAGTACCTGAGTATTATCCAGACATTCATGGAACCACATATCTAACATCTGACCCACAAGACTTACTGTCTCTCATCTACCTCCCAGGGTGAGAGTTGTGTCTGTAGGATTTTGTTATTCTTTGCCTTTGTTAAGCTTTTATTTCCTGTACCTCTGATGCTGTGCATCTGCTAGAGAAAACAAGTCAGGAATACACCTTGCACATGGATCCCAAGGTAGTAAGGCTTGTGGTGGCTTTTATAGTTCCTAGGAAGGTTTATTGCACAGACTGAGACCAGCCCCCAAAAACTGTCCCCTGCACAGATGAGCTTTACTGTTGTATTAGGAAGGCTTGTGCCTGAGAAGCAATGTCAACCCTGATCTTCATCTTGATACTTTAGATCAGGGGTGTAAAACTCAATCTGGCCCTGCAGCTGGATAAGGATCATTGTGGCCAGTCTGTGGGCTGGGCTGGAGCTAGCACAGAGGGCTAGTTTGATGGGGCTCTGCTTACAGCTTGCACCCTGCGTTGTGTGCAGCCAGTCCAGCCCTGCGCACCACATGCAGCATGCACTGGCCCTGCTCCAAGGCTCATTGTGCACTTGATTCATAGGACTGGCACAGCATATGCACTGCATGAGGTGCCCTGCTGGACCATTCCCATGTGATAGCTCTGTGGCTGGTCAGGATTGGGCTCCAAGCCATCTGTGCATGCTGGAAGCAGCATGCTGAGCCAGTCCGGCAGGGTGCCCCATGCAGCTCAAACACTCTGCCAGCCCATGTGCAGAGCAAGCCCCAGAGCAGTCAGCGTGTGCTTCACACAGTGCGCAGAACTAGATTGGCCAGCTGTGCCCATGGCAAGGGGCATTGGCTGCATGTGGCACCCCACCTGACTAACCTTGGAGCCAGAGTGCAGGGCAAGTCCAGCGTGGATGCTTCATGCAACATGTGCTCTGAAATGACTACTGTGCTACATGCAGCGTCTGCAGTGCTACATCCAGCTCATGCACCAGTCTGGCTCAGTGCACTGCATCTGAAACCTGTGGGCTGGATCATAGGGCTCTACAGGCCTGATCCAGCCTGTGGGCTGCATTGACAGTCCAATTTTAGACTCTTAGGTGTGCAGGGCCCTGGCCACGGAGCATCATGAAGGTAGAGATAAAGAAAACTTGAGGCTGACTCAGCCAGTGTAAAGCCAGCATAGAAAGTGAAGAGCAGTAAATCATCTGGCCAGGCCTTGGGGGACATGCAGAACTCTGCAGCATGTTTGCTAGTGTTTTGTACCACCTGATCGTCATGTCTGAATGGCTTTTCTGATATTCAGCTTAAAAAATCCCTTCTACCTTGAAATGTCTTTCCTGGAGCAGTGGTCTCCACCTTCTACAGGTCCTCACAAAGCAGGGGGTTGGGGGATTTCCCTATGAGCTGTGCACCCCATAGTGCACAGGCAGAAGCAGAGCCCAGTGTTGGCCACTGCCTCTGAATCTTCCGGCACTAGGAATTATCTGATATTTGTCTCTTTTTTGCTTCACCTGAACAGGAAACTTGGGTCACAGGAATTTCACCTACTTTTCAGCTGTATGCTGGCTGTTTAGCCATCACTTGTATGAGACATTGCAATACCCTATAGGTTTGGTGGAGTCCTTGTGGAGCAGGACATCCGCTGAAGTCTGATCTTTAGAAAGGGCACTGTGGGAATGTGGATTCTTTGAGGATGTTGGGAGGTGAGGAGACAGAGCAGTAGGAGCAGTCCTCCTCATGTCTGTTTCAGGAATCACCCAGGACTTGCCCCACCAGCTGGTGTTCCCTCACAGTACACTCTTCACCAGCCCTGCAGCTGCCATCTCCTGTCGGTCCTCCCCATCTCCCTGGGAGCATCCCTGGTCTTTCCTAGGATAGTGCCTGGCACAGACTGCCTCATTCTTCCAGTGCTGGGATGGGAACTGGAGGTGCCAAGACAGTTCCACAGTGGGAATGCAAGGACCAGGCTCTCCCTAGTTGTACTTCACTTTTTCCAAGGGAACTCTTCAGCTAGCCCATCTCTCTTGGACTGAGCTCTTTTCCCAGCATCCAGTCCCCATCCCTCATTTGATCCTGCATTTGCAGGTAGCTGTGATACAATCACTAAGGAACAGAGGTCTAGTGGTTTCCTGATTCTGGGGACAGTGTCATCCAGGGATGGTCAGTCACCTTGTATGACATGAGCTGCTGTCCTACACTAGTCAGTGCTCATCCTATGTTGCAGGTTCCCTTTTCCCAAGCTAATTTCTGGCTCTGGGTTAGCCATCTGTGCTGTGGAATGTAATGATCCATCCTCTCCTCAACATGACCCTCAGGGGCATTATCTGGTACCAAGGTAGCCCAGTACAGATCAGGGCCCACTGCATGTGGGGTGTGGCTCTCTTGTCCCTTGTGCTGGTTTCAAGTGAAGCAAACACCATCCTGAATATGGATATGTACAGCTGCATGTTCCCAGCTTTCATTGCAGACTGGCCCAGGGCCTTCTATATGGGCTCTGAGGGGCATACACAGCCCTTGCTTCCAGTTGGATTTGTCTAGGTAACCGGCAGCGGGGAGTGCATGAGGGGTTGACCACTCTGTAAAGGTGGCAGCCTGCTGCTTAGATCCAGCACTTCCTTGCAGTAGATGCACTCTGCTTCTCTACAGTGCACCCCTTGATGCCAAGCTGGATGGGCAGGGAGAGCAGGGCTATGTCTGATCAGCATTATCCTCTGACTGAGCCCCAGAATGACTATGCTGTAGAGCCGAGCACTGCCCAGAGACCTCTTGCAGCAGGAGAGAGGGAGCCGTGAGTTCTGGTGAGGAGGTGGTATACCCCAATGCCTACATGTGCTTCTGCCCATGTTTCCTGTCCCCCTCACATGGCCAAATGGGGATGTGAGGATCCAGTCCTCCTGGGTAGGGAGCAGTGGTCCCTTTCCACATCCCTTTTCCTCTCTTCTGACACACTTGGATGGTGAGGGGATGGGAAGCCACCCCAGAAGTTTGTCCATTCAGGAGGCCTTGAGTGCAGGAGAGGGCCTACTTCTACCCAGGCCTCAGATGAATATGGGGCGAGGGCATCAGAAATGTGGCAAGGGAACCCATGGGATCTGTGAGTTGGGGTCCTGCCTAATCAGAGAAACCATGGGGGGTATGGGCTGGTGCCCTGATTGCAGCAATGTGGATAGACCCCACCCCACTCCCTTCCTATTCTCACTGCCCTGCTGAGCCATCCTGGCCATTGCCTCCCAAGGCAGCAGCCCTTCCCAGTGCTTCATCTTGCCTGTCCTTCCCCCTTCAGGCTGTGAAGCCACCTGCCTGCCTGTGAGCCTTATGGCCCTTGGTATTTCCCCAAGATGATACCCATCCTGGGCAGGTCAACGGTCCTCTCCTTGGGAAGTAAGGGAAGTCTATCTCTGCCTAGCCTGCTGGCACAGATCAGGGGATCCTGGATCCATGCCCACTTCTCATGTTGCAGTTATCTACGTTCCAGTGAGAGGGCAAAAATGAAATCTGTTTGCGTGTTTGGTGGCACCAAACTGCTGACTGTGGCTACACCTGCAACCAGAGGATGCCTAACATATTCACTGCTGTGGTGTTCATTCTCTGGTCTTCCAAGGACCATATCCCAAACATGTCAGCAGATACAGCCAGGGGTCTCATTAATGTCACATGGACAGGAAATCCTGCCCCTCCTGATGGACAACTGCATATATGAAGTGAGGGGAGGAAGTAGGGTAATCACCTTTTCAAAATGGAAAGGGAGGACACATGCCCCCCTCTCCCCTGGCGGCACAGTTGGAGCGGAGCAGGGGTGGATGCAGGTTGCCCACTGCGGGCACAATGCTCCCTGCCCTGCTGCCTTTCCCTCAGGAGCCCTGCGCTGGTCATGTGCCCCCGCCCATCTAGCAGCAGCAGTGGGCACAACTCTATATTGCCACCTCCCCTGCTGCTGCTGGGCAGGTAGGGGGTTTGCGGCTGGTACAGGTCTCTTGAGGGAAAGGCAGCAGGTCGGAGCGCCCACAGTGGGCAGCCTGTATCCACCTCACCCTGTGCACAAATCGGGGAGGGGGCATGTGCCTCCCCATGCACCCTGGATGAACTGCTTGTGACTCTGTACTGCTCCCTACCCTGGCCCCAGACCCCATACACCACCTGGCTGGGCAGTACCCTCAGTCCCTGCCCCACTCCCACCCTCATTGTGGGGGCCTCAATCTGCCACCCCCATAGACTTACCTTCAGGGAGCTGCTCTCCATGCTGCCTGGCTGTATTCCCAGTCACATGCATGTGTGCAGACATGCATGTGTACATGACACCCCTCTGCCCCACTCCTGGCAGCCCCTTTCAGGCTGGAGTGCTGCCAGCCTGCAAGGGGAAACCCACCATTTCCCAATTCCTGCACAGTACTGTGAATCCGGGAAAAATGCTGTCCCTGAGTGATGCAGCTTGGGACCGGGACTTGCTGTTTCCATTCCAGGACTGCCTTGCCCAATTAGGAATGAGTGGTCACCCTAGGAAGAAGTAGGAGTTGCCTGGGTGTCTTGCTGCCAGTGTAACTGGGCTGAGTGCTCTCACTGGGAATGCACATTCCTGCCAGAACCATTGGGCTGGTCTGTCCATCCCACTGAAGTAGCTGGGTAAAGAGAAGCAGGAAGACAGTTCTCTGGTCACTGTCTAGTTATTTAAAGAAGGCTTGTACTGGATGTGAACAGTACAGTTCATGGAGGGGGTCCTGTACCTGCCCCTGATTCATGCCCCTGTGATGAGTTTGAGTGCAAATCTAAACCAGTGCACTGAAAATTTCACATCTCATCCCAGGAGCAGTTTGGGCAGACAACATCCCCAAGAACCAGAGAGACTTGGGGCCAAGGGGGTTCAAGGCACTTCAGCCTTGAGCTGAGGGGGATGGCGTAGAGGTGGACCTCCGAATACGCTAGTACAGGATTATAGATAGGGCCACTTAGCAATGAGAGGCGCATGACATGCTAGCATCAAGCAAGGTATCTGAGGCACTCTGCCAAGTGCATGCGACCTGGACATCACACTGAATACAGCCGGTTCAGTCTGGAAAAAAGAAAACCTCAGGAGCAGGGTGTGGGGGAGCAAACCAGTGTACATGCTGCTTTGTGTTTGACAAGGCAGATGGGTGCAGCACAGTGCCATGAACAACAGGCTTTGGATTGGTCTCCCACTGCTTGGGGATAGGGAATCAGGGGGAGCTGCCTGCCCCTCTGGCAACACTGCTTGAGACCTGGAGTAGAGGGGAGTCTGGCAGAGACACCTCCCGTTATTTAAGAGAGGCAGAGTCTGCAATGAGCTCTGTTCCCATTGCTGGAGGGGTGTCCTAGACAATGTGGGAGATGCCAGGTCTGTGCAGGCTCCTGGCACTGGAGTGACATAGTCAGCCAAGCCAGGAAGTCAGGGATGCAGAGGAAGTTGTGTGACTGATCTGTGCCTCTCCTTGCATGTGTGCTGCTCCCCCTGGCCCCGTCTCTCAGGACAAAGCTCTTGTCAGTGGATTCCAGCACCCATGATGTTGATGTCTTCCCATTCAGTGATGCTGTCCCACCCTGGCTGCAAGGCCACTGTCACTGACCTGTGCTATGCATGGGCAGAATAGCCTTGTGAGTACTGACTGTGTCCCCTCTATAACACCGACTGAATAGGAAGACATCAACATCATGGGTGGGTGCACAGGGGCGCAGGGGAGCAGCTGTGTTTATTCTAATGGGTGCATGGTTTCTTAATGTGGTTTAATGTGTGTGATGGAAAGTTATATGCTAGATGATGTGTGTGTGTATGTGTATATATATATTTTTGTTTTGTTTTTGTTTTTGTTTTGTTTTGTTTTTCAAAAGAAAAAAAAAAGTTGCCCATACACCTGCCAGGGGACCACCATGACCAAGCAGGTGGTTTTCCCAGGAACAGGGAATAACCACCTTTCTGGCATGAGATAGTACCCATGGAGGTAATGGGAAGATCTTGGCTTTACGCCCACTTTATGGAAAAGGGAGACTCCTCCTTAAGTTGCTCCTGTGGCTGTACGGCTGAGGGTGAGCGAAACTTGGGGGTGTCCGAACCCTCTGGGCTTGGGCCTGCATGTAGGGTGCCCACCAAATGATTTGGAAACTTCTGAAGCCCCAGGTGGGGGAGGAGGATGTTTGCCAGTAGTAAGGCCGCGTATGGTTCTTGAATGACTCACGGATTTGGAATTGATCTGGCTGATTTGGCTTGGAACACATACACAAAAAAGTTGCCCATACGCCAGAGAGGTGTGGAAGAAAATCCATGCGCTCCTCCTGGTGGTGACAGATTTCGGAAACCTGAGCAGGGAAGTAGCTCTCTACGGGCACCTGACCAGACAGCAAGGGACCCCAACTTCAACCAGTTCATATCCTGCTTCAGGTCTGCACTATGGAAAACCAGGAACCTGTTCATAAATAGACACTCAGACCCCACAGTTGAGGACTGTATTAAAATGGGACCAAATGAAATGTACTGGTACTACAGGAAGACAGAAGAGGATGATGGGACAAAAATGACAGACCTCATCTGGTGGAGAGGGGTCTGGCATAGACTTTTTCAGGAGTAGACCCTCTGAGGAGGGCAGTGGGTGGGGGTACAGGCGTGCAGTAGAACAATGTGAACCGTGTAATGGGCTTTTAGTGTGCTTCAAGCTGCCAAGTGAACCCCAAGAGCCACTTGGCAGAGTGTTGGAGGTGAGTTTTTTATATATATATATAAAAATTAATATTTTTGCACAAAAATGACAGTTGCACTACTTTATTCTGGTAGGTTCCCATACTTACCTGGCAGGGAAAATACCATGACCACTAAGGCAGTTTTCCTAGTTGCTGGGGATAACTGCTTTTCTGGTACGGGGTAGTACCTGCAGAGGTAATGTATAGTTAATCTTCTGCTTTCTCTTCCAGTGGGAAGATCTTGGCTTTACTCTACACTTTATGGAGCTGGGAGACTCTTCTAGCTTGCTCCTGCAGCCATATGGCTGAGGGCAAGCGAAACTTGGGGGCATCCGAACCCCACGTCTCTGGGCTTGAACCTGCATGTAGGATGCCTGCCAAATGATTTGGAAGCATCTGAAGCCCAAGGCAGGGGTGGAGGATGTTTGCTAGTAATAGGGTCACATATGGTTATTGAATAACTCGCAGATTTGGAATTGATTTGGCTTGGAACAGGAAAAATTTTACACCCCCCCCCCCCCCCCGGGCAAAAAAAAAAAAAAAGAGCATGGTGAGACAGGTGCCTGAGGCAGAGGCTCCCAGAAAGCAGCTCTCTGAGCTGGGTATCAGGAAATGCCAAAAAGACAGAAATCATCCTGGGGGCTGGGTGAGGGGCTAGATTCCACTCTGCAGCTCAGCCAGGAACCCTCCTGAATCAGATGCCTGAGCCAGGTCAGCCCTTTCTCATGGAAAAACAGGGAGAGTTCTGCCTCTTGAATGCAGCCATTGATGCTCTGCCTGTGTCCAAACCCTTGCCTGAAGCAGGGATGTGGAGCAGGAAGTTGAGCTGAGGTGTCCTGTCCTAGGAGAGTGCCTGGATAGTCTGGAATGAGGCACTCCTCTCCCACTGCAGGTGTGCATAATAGGTCCCCACTGCAGGTCCCTCTGTGCATAATAGTTATAGCAGGGGCTGGAATCCTGCTCCCGCACCTCACCAAGTAACCTAACCACTGGGCCAGCTGCCCTCTGCCCCAATGACTATTTGATGCGGAGTGGAATAGCTCCCACTGGAGAAGCAGTTGCCCCTCCACAATGCGCTGTAGCCAGGAATTGGGCATTCACTGTTCCACACTGTAGCTTGGGCAGAGCATGGATATGACAACAGGTCTTTTCCCTACTGCCAGAGGAGCACAGGACATTAACTCATGTGCCTGCTTGCCCCCAATGTCTAGACATGGTTGTCAGAGCCTAGGTCAACTTCTTGGGAGTTTGCCAGAAGGAAGGATGGACTTGCTGATGTGCTGGCCTGGGAAGGCTGTTGTCTTTAGTATTGGTCATGTCTGAGTCCTTAGAAAGTGGTTCAATGTTAGTGTGAACTGCTACAGTTCCCCCCGCCCCCCACTCCTCCATGTTTGCAGCCCTCACCTTGTCATTGACACCAAAGATGCAGGGTAATACCTTATAATGGGTTCATGAGACCCTTCATGTGCCTGAATTTGTTTCTCTCCCATGTCTTTGTGAACTGCTGCTTAAGAACTTTGCACTTGGACCGGCACTGGGGCTGCTCACAGCCATGTCATCAGGCTGCCATTTCCCTTGCAATCTTCTGATAACATGCCCTTAGTTTGCTGGCTTGACCAGAGTGCCCACAGAATTTCGATCTCAGCCCAGATGATGATGAGGTCAGTTATCTCCTCCAGGGTTCGTTGTTGCCGTGCTTGATCTCATCAGATTGGGAGGCCACAATACAGTGAAGCAGTCTGGTTGTATAGACCATGTGAGATTGGCAGTGATGGGAGGATACAGGCTCCAATACCATTGTCGGGTGGCAAGCAAACAAATGGCTAGCTAGTTGCTGTGCAGGGTGATTTGCAGATTGGGGTGGGGGCACTTGGTACCTGGGAAGTTGTTTGGCAACCAGGACTAGAGTGACTAGATAGAGCCAGAGTCTGGCTGAAACAGTGCAACCTGGGATACCTGGAGGGTGGATTGCTCCACCAGCCCTGGGAGTTATCATGGCACAAGGAAACAGATGTT